TTATCTCCCAATGCATGAGAATGTCACTACCATCTATAAATAATAAATAGTTAACTGGCTTCACATTCCAGTATTAGTTTTCATCTTACGGCCTTCTTCTTACAGGTCGACCACCTCTAGAAGAAGTTTTGGTGGCACGGAGGAAGAAGGTCTGAATTCACTTGCCTTTATAATCTTGTTTCTTCGTTCTTCATACGTAATAAAAAGTGAATTATTCTCATACCCATTTGCTCGTTTAAGATGAGCAAATTTCCTTCGTGATAAAGGATAATAGAGTTCTTTTTCTCGTTTTCCATTGTACTGCATCTTTCGACTCAATTCTCTTTGACTTCCCTCTAATGTGTTATTTTCTTACTTCATAGGGAGAAATATGCGACGACAGCAAGGCTTGTAAAATGTAGACATCATTCAGAATAACATAGTGAAGGGCATAGATAATGTTGCTTGATTATCAAATGTATGTATCGGTCTATCGGGTATATATATATTCTTCATATATTTAATTGTAAGAAGAAAAGCTATTTGATGCCACTTGCTTCATTTAGTGGTCTATAAAGATTTTTGCACTAGTGATGCTTGCTTGTAAGAGATTTTGGAAATAAAAACACAAACTATTACAACTTTGTCAACAAGAAATAGCATGAAATAAGCTAATAGTTTTGGAACATTCTGGTTCCTTACCAGATTTAATGAGTGAACTAGTTACTGTACAACAACAACAAACGCTTCTTCGTAATAGATTTGGAGTCGGCCAAACAGACTATTACTGCACAAAGAAATGAATACAAGAAATCCTACTAATTCCATCTTAATCACAGTAAAAACTGAAAGCACGTACCACAGAATCATACCTCTTTCCAAGATAGACTGATCACCATGTCCATCAGCTTCGGAATCACTTTATGAATGCTAACTTCATGTTCATTATACTTTCTAGTCATGTTCAGTACTGTATATCAAACATCCATGAAATTAATTTCGTAGGTATTCCCCATAACATTTCCATCCTGTACAATCTTCCATAACGACTATTACAAAAATTGCCTTAAACTGTATCAGAAAACATAAAAACTGTTGGATAATTGCCTCAAATGTC